TTATAATATCCTGTTATACATCATTATTAATAACAAACTACAGCCGAAACTGGTTTGGCTCAGTGGATAGAGCGTTGGCCTGCAGAATGAAAGGTCCCAGGTTAGATTCCAGTCAAGGGCATGTACCTTGGTTGCAGGCACATCCCCAGTACGGGGTGTGCAGGAGGTGGCTGGTCGATGTTTCTCTCTCATTGATGTTTCTAACTATCCCTCTTCCTTCCTCTCTGTAAAAAAATCAATAAAATATATTAAAAAAAAAAAAACTACAACGTTTGCTAATGACTGATTACTACACTCGTGTTGCATTCATTTCCCTTACACGCCTTACATGCAGGCGCACCATTTCTCTCCACTAATACCAGCAGTGAATATTTTAGCAGCCAATTGCCAAATTGGTCTGACTTGTTTGGTATGCATAACAGGAAATATTTTGCTTTCGGAGAACAAGGAAAACAGGTTTATTTGCATTATGCTTATTAACTTGTGCAGTTATTCAGTGTCTGGTAAGTTAACGCTTAAGAAAAAATATGAATTTTTATTAAAATGTTCTGTTATTTTATGTTAACGATGACATTTCTTTCAGCCCTTTGTATTCAGCATATGTCTACCAAAATAAACCCATGTTTCTATGAAAATTGAAGCTTTTGTTTTCTTGTGGCCCACATACACTTAAACCTTGTTTATTTGGCCCGTGTTAGCCTTTGAGTTTGACATGCTTGCCTAGGGTAAGAGCTAGTTCTCGAATAGGACCCTGAGAAGTGGAGTTGTGGACGGGCGCTATAATTCTGATGCAGAGCCTGATTGCAGACCTAACTCGTGATTCCTCTGAAATCTGCAAGTTGGAGGAATATGCCCCCTCCACCCACCTCTGACCAATCAGGCTCTGGAACCCTTCTGCGGTGGTGTGATGGCTCATGGCTGTGGATGTGAGCCTTCCAGAGTAGTTGCCATTTGCAAAAATGGATTGGCAACCTCATTCCACTTCCCTCGCTTTTCTCCTGCTGCACACACCTTAGTAAGGCCGTTGAATCACTCCAGGCAGCTGTCCTCTGAAAGGGATTGATGGTTTCCAGGCTGCTCACTGAATAAATGATCTAGACAAGAGGCATGGGGGAGGTGGGGTTATGTAAGTCCATTTTTTTAAAAATATATATTTTATTGATTTTCTACGGAGAGGAATAGAGAGATAGAAACATCGATGAGAAAGAATCATTGATCAGCTGCTTCCTGCTCACCCCCTACTGGGGATGTAGTCACAACCAAGGTACATGCCCTTTCAGTCCACAGACTGACGCTCTATCCACTGAGCCAAACCGGCTTCGTCTGTAAGTCCATTTTTTTAAAGAATATGGAAAAACCGGGATCTTGCTCTGACCAGTTCTCCACAATATGATGTCTTTCTGGTTTAAGTTGGATAAAAATGTTATTCTGTGAAAATGTTTTTGTCCATCTGGCACACAACCCTTCCACATAAAGGTCTGGGCAAAAAATGAAATGATTAGGCAACATTGTGAAGATAGGATTAGTGAATTGGACACACTGGCTTTGTAACAACAACATCAACAATAACAAACCCTGGCATCTGGGAAATCGCTGGGCCATGGCAGAACATTAATTCTTTGTTTTCATATCTGTTCCTGGAAGCTTTCTCCTCTTTCTTTATAAATATATCTTTTATTGATTTTAGAGAAAGGGAGGAAGAGGGAGAGAGATATAGAAACATCAATGATGAGAGAGAATCACTGATCAGCTGCCTCTTGCACACCCCCTGCTGGGGATCAAGCCTGCAACCTGGGCATGTGCCCTTGACCAAAATCAAACCTGAGACCTTTCACTCTGCAGGTCGACGCTCTATCCAGTGAACCAAACCGGCCAGGGCTTTTCTCCTCTTTTCTGAAGAAAAACACTTGTGCTGCCATTCCAAGCTGCTGTGAGCACTCAGATTCAGAAGGACTGCGGAGCCCAGAAGGCATGTGACCCTGTGACCATGAAACAGCAGGGGTGAGCCAGCTCTGCACAGTTGGCAGGTGATGAACTTGAGTCGCAGACAGAACTATTTGAAACTGACTGCCTCAGGCAGTGCCTCTGAAAGCAAGGACTGAACTGAGAACCCCAGGGCTGGAGGAACCACAGTGGGAAGCCACGTGGGAGGTCCTGGTATCATGTCCTGCCTACTCAATGCATGTCCTGCTTGGGGTATAGATTTTTGGAGGATGGAAGAGAGCTATGACAGTCACAGCTTTGTTTCCAGGTGACATGTGTGCCCCCATGTGCCCTCAGGGATTGCACTCCTTGGGTGTGTGCCCTGACCTTCGTGACACTGGCAGAGCCATGCTGAGCCTGAATTGATGCCTCGGGCCAGGTTAATAGAGAAGCTTACAGAGGAAGCTGCTGGGCTTTCTAAGCCAGACCTTTATGAATAATAAGAGGTGTTTTAGCTGTTGAAGTCCATGACTGAACAGGGCATAAGTGAGGTCAATACTGCAAGTTAGACTCAGCCTGCTGTGTGGGGTCCTGCTGATAATAATTCTGTCAAGACACCTAGGCCATGGGCCAAGGGACTGGAGTGTGCAGACAAGTTGACATCGCAAAACTGAGACTGCTGTTCTTAGCGTGAATGGCCCACTTGCAAGGTTGACTCTTGGCTGATTTCTGGGAACTTCAATTTGAAGAGTTCCCACACTTCCCCAATTCATTAGAGTTCATCACTGTGCCTAGGTTGTGAAAACAATGGAACTTATGCTGAACACCTGTTTTATCTCTGTGTTTGAAATTCTGGTACATGCTAGACAGAGAGTGCCTGTGAGACTAGCACTCAATAAAAACCCTAAACTATGAATCTCAAAGGGCTTCCCTAGGCAAGAATATCACACATATGCTACTGAGTTTTTATTGCTGGGAAGGGTGTGCTCTGTGTGACTACTCATGGGGAAGGGAGAGCATGTGGATTCCTCCCGACCCCACCTAGGTGTCTAGCCATATATCCTTACACATCTCTTTCATAATGTTTTTATTGATTCTTAGAGACAGAGGAAGAGGGAAAGGGAGAGAGAGAAACATCAATGAGAGAGAAACATGGATTGGCTGTTTTCTGCACAACCCCCTCCTTAGGATCGAGCCTGCAAACTGGGCATGTGCCCTGACCAGGAATTGAACCTGCAACCCCTTGGTGCATGAGACAATGCTCAACCAACAGAGCCATCTGGCCAGTGATATCCTTACACATTTTTGTAACAGTCTTAGCCCTTAACACAACTATATGCTGAATCCCATGAAACCTTCTTGAAAATCTCTGAATGGAGTGGTAATCTTGGGGTCCCCCAATAATAAGCAATGAAAATCTCAGTTATTTTCTTATCACTTTATAGATATAGGGTACTTTGAAATTTCAATTATACTGATCACTGCTTTGACGATAAGGTAGATCTGCCACCAGATAATTTGGTATTTAATGTGTTGATAAGGAAGCACATATGCCACATTTTAAATTTAACATTTTTATTATGTCTTAACATATTACCTTTGTATTTCCAAGTATTTTATTTGCTGAATTATTCTGGGAGCCTGATTCTAAGATGGCCATAGGATTCACACAAAAGAAAGCTGAAAACTCCTTCCAATGGGTCTAGATGTAGTAATCATTAATGGGCAATTTATTACCTACCCTATCTAATAAAGAGGGAATATGCTAATTGAATTGAACCTAATGCCATCACAAAGATGGCAGCACCCACAGCCAATAAAGAGGGGATATGCTAATTGACTGTCCCACCCTCAAAGATGCCAGTGCCCATAGCCAATAAGGAGGGGATATGCTAATTGACTGCCATGCCCTTAAAGATGGCAGCGCCCACAGCCACAAAATGGTGGTGCCCAGTCCTCTCAGCCCCTAGTGTTGGCAGGCATGAAGCAAGGCTGGGCCCACCCCCAGGTGGGCCTGGCTCTTCCACGCACCTGCCTTCAGAGTCCCTCAGTCCCTTCAGCCCCCAAGCCACTCAAGGCCAGCCCAAGGTGCATGCAAGCTTCCCATGGCTTCCCAAGGCTCAGACTACCTGGGCCAGCTGAGGCTTGTGCTGCTGGCATTGGCAGCAGCAGAGGTGTGATGGGGCATCGCCTTCCCCTGATTGCCGGGTTACCTTCTGCCTTTGAGGGCTCCCGGATTGTGAGAGGGGGCAGTCTGGGATGAGGGAACCCCCCCCCCCTCCAGTGCATGAATTTTCATTTACCAGGCCTCTAGTAAGTGAATAAACATTTAGTGCCATATATTTTATTCAGAGACAAGGAAGAACTAGTTCTAAAGATGGCATTTAAAGGGGCACCAGGAGCTAACAATAAAGTCACTTTATGATTCTGTGCCATGCTTGTTCAATGTGACAGCTACATATATAATGTATCTAAAAGGTGAGATATAATTGAGGATTTATATGATGTTGAGTTTTCTGGAATTATAGAATGGATGTTTCTTGTTGGACTTTATTTACTGTGTACAAGAAAAATCCCAAACTAAAACTTTGAAAAACTCCTACTTCACTTTCAGGTGCCCCTATGATTACAGACGGCCACTTGACTCTACTTGACCCAAAGACAGTCTTCCATATAACAGATGGAAGTGGACATGAAGGCAGACATAAGGCTACCCTCACTGACACTGGCATGTCCTAATATTAAATACCATAATGTCATCTATAAAGATATCTTAATTTTTGTTTATGTTGGCTAGGTTTTAAACTATTTTTGATGATTCTAAATAAATTTTTATTGTTGATTGTATTACATGTATCTCCCATATCCCCCTTTCCCACCTCCACCCACCCCCAGGTCTCCACTACCCTATTGGCCATGATCATAGGCTATGAAAAGTATATAAGTTCTTTGGCTCATCTCTTTTCATTCCCCCCAACCCCACATCGAGATAAGTCTTCAATTCTGATGAAACCTTTTGCAATCAAGTTAATAGTTAACACCTTAACATTTATTAAGACTTAATAGTACAAATTTGATTTTAGCAGGGTCAGTGGAGCGTCACTAAACTTGTGAAAATAGCTTATTAGTGTAATACTCTGCTCTGTCCTTAAAGATGTACAGAGATATGTTACCTGTTCCAATTTTTTCCTTCACAATGAACCGGTATGATGCAGAGGACTTTCTAATTGTCTGTGACTAAATTTTTTCTTTAATTGAATACAAAAATACTATGCATGACATGTAAAAATAATAAGAAAGTTTATTGAATGTAATTTTACACTCTTTTGCCCATGACTCCTTAGCGCTTCATGGTGAACTGCACTTGCGAGGCCCATAGATGCCTTTATAAAGTCGTACAGAGCATCTCCAGCATCATATCATCCATGCTGACAGTGCCGATGATGGACCTGAAGAACAGTTCAGTAACAGCACTGACACTAATGAATCTAAGCTGGAAAAGGATGCTATTTAGTTCAGCGACTCTGACATGGTACCCTCTGTACATCATCCTGGTGTGTTCGCCGAGGATCTGCTGAGTTCCCCACTGAAGTCCCTGAATGTACTTCACACACCTGAGGCCTGGCAGGTCTGGAAGAGAGAATGGGAGCAAAATCTCTTTGTTGTTAACAGCTCACTCACAGAGTCCTTTGTTAGCTTTTTAAACACATCAATTTCTGCCCCTTCTCAAATTAAACAAGAGCTCAGCTACCTGGTGTAAAGAGCTTTCTAGAGCAAGGATAAATACCGAAACAGTTCTAAGTTTTCAAAAGCAATGCTTCCAAGAATTAAGCATCATATAATCCACTATGTTTGTCTCCTCACACTTAGAAACTGCTGGCCCTGAGCCAACAAACGCGCACTTCATTCACTATGACAGTAGAATATAGTTTAATGCATCATTGCTCCAGTTCACTATCTGTGCAAATATGAAGAAAGTAAAATGATTTCAAGAAGTGAGCACTTTGCCATTTACCTGTGGGAAACAGGCCATTGTATAATGACAAGGAGTTTTGCGAGGTGAAAAATATTTTATCATCCTCTCTGGCATTTTCCACCATTATAATAATTATCCAGCTGATGGTGGTGAACTTCACAGCCACAAACAATAACTCACAGTCTCATTTTAAGTATTTGCCTGCAGGCTGATTTTAGTCTTGAGTCCCATAATAACTTAAGAGATAACACTGACCACTTAGCTCCTTGAAACATAATTTCTGTATTGGGGAAGGTAAAAAAAAAAAAAAAGAAAAGAAAAAAAAAAGAGTGATTCTAAGGAGCATTTCAAAAGGCTCTTTTAAAAATATATATTACTTTACAGTAAGAAGTCTTTGCAAGCATTGTTTTACAGCCATTAAAAGGTTAAAAAGTCAACATGAAGACATCAAGGATTGCAACATGGTTCAAAAGTAACTTTTCAAATAGAGAACACGTGACCTTCTTTCAGTCCAATGTGACACCCAAGTCAAACTGAGTGCAATATAATACAAGAAAGATGAAGTGTGTTTGTAATTTAAGAAGGTGGTAAAAAGGCTGCTTTTGAAAGTCTGTTGGTTCTCCATTATATTAATATTACCTTAAAGTCTCTAACTTGTATTTAAGTAATTACCGATTTACCATTCTGTTTGAATGATGTTAATGTTGATTGCAATCATTTTCCTTCTCTTTTTCTACAAAATCCAACAGAAAGTATTTTTCCCTTTTTTATTGACTGTATTGGGCAGAAAAGTATTTTAAAAGCATCATGCTAATCATCACAGAGTAGCAGAACCAGTCAGTGTCCTTTAAAAAATAATAATGGCAATAAATGAGTCATCCTTATTATAGGCAAATACAAAATTTGATAAATAAATTTAGAACAAAAACAGCATCTCAGATCCATATTCCTATTCTGATTATCCCAGTCCATGCATTAACATCACCTCCTACCTACAGCTTGAGACCCAGCTGTACTGGGTTCGAATTCCACTGGTTAGAGGAAAAAGAGGCTTGCATGAAATTCCACAGAAATTCTGAAGCTCCTCTAGGAATAGATTCATGGATCATTAAAGCTTTATCTTGAGAATTCCACATCACTTTTCTCAGCTTTCATGCCACACCCTTCCATTTCCACCACAGTGTGGCTCCCCCCCCCAAAAAAAAAATATATATATATATATATATATTTTCCTTTAACATAAATTCAGGGAGGAAAACAGGTGGTTAGATGGACTCCACAGTAAAAAATAAATAAACAAACAAACAAACAAACAAAAAGATCAGGAGATAAAAAAGGATAAATAAGAAAGGACACACATTTAACAGACTTTACTTTTCTCTCCAATACAGGTGCATTAGTGTTTTAAACACAGTCAGCTTAACTGGCTAACCTCATATTGGGATGATATCAAGCAACAGAGTAAGAATAAAGGAGAGATGTGTGTGTGTGTGTGTGTGTGTGTGTGTGTGTGTGAGAGAGAGAGAGAGAGAGAGAGAGAGAGAGAGAGAGAGAGAGAGAGAGAAAGGTGTGCAAACAGGGTGAAGGAAAAGAGGGATCTAGTGAAATGTAAACTTCTGGAAACTGAGCCCCTAGCTACCTTTGTATTCCAACAGAACAAAGCACATGGTAGATGTTTAATAAGACAGGCTGAAGGAGGGGGAAAACTATTTCCCAATGATCATAAGAACCACACGTTATGATGCATGCAGAGTTGCACACTGGACCAGAGCTACTGAGTTGGAATCTCTAGAGGAAAGACCTAAAAAGATTTTAAACAAGCCCCATCCCCCTTCCCCGCCCAAATGTTTTTAATGCACTGGCAAGTTTGGAAAGTGATATAAGCAAAAAGATGACCTACAGTGATTGCTGGGATGAGCTGAGGTCTCTAGGTCTGAAATGTGAATTCTAAATGAATCATTTTCCCTCTATACCCCTTCAAAAATGCTAGGCATGCCCTAGCTAGTTTAGCTCAGTGGATAGAGCCTTGGCCTGAAGGGTCCCGGGTTCAATTCCACTCAAGGGCACGTGCCCAGGTTGCCCACTGGATCCCCAGTAGGGGGCGTACAGAAGGCAGCCAATGCATGATTCTCTCTCATTATTGATGTTTCTATCTCTCTCTCTCCCTCCTCCTTCCTTCCTCTCTGAAATCAACAAAAATATATTTTAAAAGGTTATAAAAAATATCACTATTATTATTTTTTTAATGCTAAGCAGGTGAGGCATAACCTGAGACTCCTGGTGTCAGGAAAGTACATGTTATGAAAACTATCCCAACCCAAGCTGCCTGGAAACTTCCTGCCTACTGTGTCCCTTTTGGATGGATCCTGGTTGAAGATGACTTTAGTTTTAGGACATACTCGGAAGTAGGGGCTGAGCTGTCCAGGAAGATGTTCTGCCATGAGTTGGTTGCACCGTGTGAATTGTGCCATTATATAATAAAGGTTCTTTGGTTTTAAGCAGCAGAAATAATCTTATTTTGCTGCAGTTCAATAGAGATTATGGGGAAAACTACCAGGGGCATATACACTGAGTAGCCAGATTATTATGATCTCTGAACTGTCCAGGAAGATGTTCTGCCATGAGTTGGTTGCACCGTGTGGATGAGAGTGTCCAGCACCCAACAGACCTTGGGCCCAGGAGACAGGAGGCCCATGCTCCACAGCTCACTGGCCATTCATGTTGCAGAAAGGTCCCTTGGGACCAGGCTACCTGCTCTGCAAATGGGGTAGAGGACAGAACGACTTGATTAAGAGGCCTCTAAGATCTGTTCCTGCTCACCAGCCCGAGTCATTTTCCTGCCCCCTCGGTAGCCTGAAACTCACAGACACTTGGAGGATGAAATAGTCCAGCTACTTCGGACCATAAAAATGACCATTCAGAGACAAAGCCATGGAACACCAAGTCCAGTGTCCTGCCTGACTGTCCCCAGGGAAGGTCTCTCTATGGGCTGTGAATAAATTTTTCCTTTCTTGCCAGCCTTCATAGAGTTTCTCCAACAACAACAAAAGGCTCTAGTAAATTTCAGAATTGGGTTTCAGAAAGATGTTGCCGAAGTTGCAGTAAACACAAACTTTTTTAAAGCTATGCTACTGGATTAAAAAGACTAGAGAAGCCCCGGGCCTAGCCAGTTTGGCTCAGAGAATAGAGCATCAGCCTGCAAACTCAACGGTCTCCAAGGTCTCCAAGTCAAGGGCACATGACTGGGTTGCGGGCCCAATCCCCAGTGTGGGACATGCAAGAGGCAGCTGATCAATGATTCTCTCCCATCATTAGTGTTTCTCTCTCTCTCTCTCTCCCTCTCTCTCTCTCTCTCTCTCTCTCTCTCTCTCTCTCTCTTTCCTCTCTGAAATCAATAAAAATATATTTCAAAAAACACTAGAGAAGCCGAAACCGGTTTTGCTCAGTGGATAGAGCATCAGCCTGCGGACTGAATGGTCCCAGGTTCGATTCTTGTCAAGGGCGGGCACATCCCAAGTAGGGGGTGTGCAAGAGGCAACTGATCTATGTTTCTCTCTCATTAATGTTTCTAGCTTTCTATCCCTCTCTCTTCCTCTCTATGAAAACTCAACAAAATATATTTTAAAAATACTAGAGAAGGAATATCTATATCCCTTGAAAGCACAAACTTTTGTGCAGTAACAGAAAGTTACAGTGAGGCAAGTACAAACCTCAACAACAACAACAACAAAACCCTCCTCCAGGCTGAGTTTCTGGAAGCAGACCACTCACAGGAGTAGTTTCTGGAACTGCCCTCACTCTGCTGCTTTAGTGCTCTCTTCACTGTTGCCCGGATGCTCCCCTGTGCCCGCAACCTGGTAGGCACTGCCCAATGCTCTGCTGAGCAGAGAACACCCAGAGCCCGAGGCTGGCACCCTTACCCGGGGTAAAGAGCACGATCCCCTTGAGGTAGGCGTACTCCTTGGCAGTGATGCCCAAGCTCCAGCACTTGGCAAGGAAGCTCTTGATAGCCTGGACCTCAGCGGCTGATGGCAAACCTGTGGCCTCTGTTGGCGGGATGGGGCGCTGCTGCTGCTGCTGCTGCTGCTGCTGCTGCTGCTGCTTCCGCTGCTTCTGCTGCTGCTGTGGAGGGAGAGGTGGCGGCTCCTCGCCCTCGGTCTCCTGCCGCCTGGCGGTAAGGAGACTCTGCAGCCAGCCGGTCTCCAAGGTCTCCATGGTCTCAAAGTTAACGCGGTCCTGGGCCAGCTCGAGCAGGAGCAGAGGTGCCCAGCCACTGCGCACCAGCACCAGCTGCTGGTCCAGGGGCAGAACCTGGAAACAGGGTAAGTATTTGACAAAGCGCATGGTCCTCAGCAGGGCCGCGGAGGCTGCCTCGCAGACCACCTGTGGATTCTTGAGGGCCACCCGGCGCTGGACGCCGCTCCAGGGGTTCCACCAGGGGGCCCCCTGCAGCGCCACGGGCTGAGCTTCCTCCGAGTGCATTTGTTTGGAGCTCGCAGGCAGGTTGTAGAAGATGCTGCCCCGCCGCCGTGGGTGCTGCTGCCCGCAAAAGCAGCAGCGGTACAGGAGCGCCACACCTTCTCTGCCCACCGCGGGCACCGCTCCGCAGGCGCAGCCCCAGCAGGAGCCCCTCGGCACGGCGGCGGGGGTCTCCTGCATCTTTTTGGCGTTTGTGAGCATGTGGTAGAGGATGCTGCCTTGTCGAGGGTGGTCTTCGCCACAGAAGCAGCAGCGGTACAGGTCCGTCCCCGCCCGCCTCCCCGGCTGCCCCTCTCTGTCCAGCGCGGGCACCGCGCCGCAGGAGCAGCCCCAGCAGGCGCCCCCCGGGGGCCGCGCCCGGGGTGCCGCCCGAGCTTCCGAAGCCTCTGCCTGGTGAATTTGCTTCGCGCTCATGAGCATGTTGTAGAGGATGCTGCCTGGCCACTGCTGGTGCTCGTCCGCCATGGCCTGCGGTGCCCGCAGCCCGGCTCTGGCCAGGGGCGGCTGCCTGGGATCTATTTATACCCAGCCCGAGCGCACACGCACGCGCGGCTGCCTCCTGCCGCCTGCTGGGCGAGGGCGTGGAGCGGGGCAAAGCGAGGCGCTGTGCTCTTGTGTGTGTGGCTGTGACTTTGGCGATCCCAAAGCGGGCAGAAGCTCCTTAAAGGCTGTGGATGGAAGAGGAGCGGAGGCAGAACTCCTGGACATTTCCCGTTTTCCTTTCATTACACACTCGCCTGCCCCGGGAAGACCCGACCGAGCAGAGTGCAGTGCAGGGAGCAGGCATTCGGGGCACTGTTCCAACTCTTTCCATTGATTCCTGGCATCGAATTTGCCAGGAAAGGTGCCTAAAAGGGGAAAGTGCTGTTTCTGTGCCATCTTTGCAAACTTTCATTGACTGGTCAAACTTAATATGACTTTTTTTTTAAGATCTAAATGGGCTGATTTGTTTTTGTTTTATTCTTTTTGGGGAACATTGAGGAAAGGGATTATTCCCTGTGCAGACACTTTCAGATAATAAAAACATAGAACACTTTGTTCATTTTACAGAGCTAACATGATCCTGATACCTAAACCTCACAAAGGAAAAACACACATGAAGTACACAGTCATTAATAAAACTGCACACCAAGCTAAGTTACAAGCTGGCAAAAATCCCATGTTTTCCCCTGTCTTGCTTTCTTCCTTGTTATACGCAGCACATCTTTAAATAACTTCCCGAAAAAGAATATGTGAGAAGTAAACTTAATATGACATATTTTGTATATGGATAGGGAGGTTTTATTTTCAGGGATTTTGAAAAACACCATAGACCAGCAGTGTCCGTACCATATGGGAACTTGGTAGGAGTGCTCATCACAGGCCCTAACCAGAACTTCTGACTCTGAATCTGCATTTTAACAAGGTCCCCAGGGGGTTTGCATGCACCTTAAATTTGGAAAATCATTGCTCTAAGGATGCTATCATAAACACTTTCATTCATATTTATAAGCACCCACTCTGTCTTAGATGCTGTGTTAGCAAGCTGGGGGCAGCAACCAGGATGTCAAAGAGGATAACTATTTGGAAATATAATAATTACAAGGGCTAAAAGCTTACTACAGTGAGAATTTTGAATTGTTTTAGAGATATTATATTGGGCAGGTGTGTAATTCACATTTCTCCTCCTGCCCTTTCTAAGTGAATAATGAGAAACGCAGGTTTCAGGAAACCTGGATTCTTCAGTCCTCACTTGCCACCTTCCTCGGATTCCAGCTGGCACTGAAATCAGTTGATTTCTCCTCATCACCACCTGCCTCATTGCCACCTGTGTAACTAACTGGTTGTTTTGCCAACAAGTTGGGTAACTTCAAAATCACAACCCTTTCATCCTCAAATTCCTCACCTCTAAAATAGGAGGCTTATTTAGTGAATTTTTGGGGTCCAGGATTGAAGACATGGAGCAGCAAAGGGGACTGGCATAGGATCCCCTTTCTCTTTTTTAGTTTCTCTGAAACCTGGAATTCTGAGCAGAAGGGGAAAATCTAGGAGACACTTTTATTTTGCATTTAACCTGCAATTTTATTCTACCTGTGAGAGGCCCTGTGACACGGTAGCTAAATCTCTAGCACTGGCACCAGATTGCCTCCATTTTAATTCTGGCCTGGCACTTGCAGTTCCCTGGCCTTGAGCAATATATTAGTTTCCTGTTGCTGCTATAACAAATTGCCACAAATTTAGTGGCTTAAGCAACGCAAATTTATTACATTATAGCTTTGGAGGTCAGAACACTGAAATAAGTTTCACTAGACTAAAATAAAGGTGGCATTTCTTCGAGGAAACTCTAGGGAAGAATCTATTTCCTTGCCATTTTCAGCTTCTAAAAACTGCCTGCATTCCTTGGCTCCTGGCCACATCACTCCAACTCTGCTTCTATCTTCTTCCTGACTGTTTTTAAAGATCTTGCTGAAACCGGTTTGGCTCAGTGGATAGAGCATCAGCCTGTGGACTCAGGGGCCCCAGGTTTGATTCTGGTCAAGGGCATGTACCTTGGTTGGGGGCACATCCCCAGTGGGAGGTGTGCAGGAGGCAGCTGATCAATGTTTCTCTCTCATTGATGTTTCTAACTATCTCCCTTCCTCTCGGTAAAAAAATCAATAAAATATATATTTTTTAAAAAAGATCTTTATAATTACACTAGAAATCCAATGCACAAAGCTCGTGTAAGGATCCCCTCACAGCTGCGGTGGCTTGCTTTGGCCCTCGCAGTCCCGACTTCGTCAAGAAGGTTGTCTGGAAAGATGTCCAGGACATCTGGAAGGTTGTTTGGCTTTCTGGTCTAGCTGGCATGTTATGCTTTTATTATTATAGATTTATAATCTAAAATAATCTCTCTAGATCAAAAATTTTAATCACATCTGCAAAGCCCCTTTTACTATGTGAGATAACATATTTACAAGTTCCCAAGATTAGGACACTGACATCCTTGGGGGGCATTATTTAGTATTCCACGAGAAAGTTTCTGTATCTCAGTTTCCTTGTTTGTAAAACATGGACAAGAGTCTCTGTGAGCTAATCCTTGTACATGAATTAATTCAGGTAGAATATTGCTTGGTACATGATGTATCCACCATTATTCCCCCTTTTTTAAAAATAATGTGGGATGATTTCAGGTGTAATAGGTGGTATTATACATTAGCACCAGCATTCTTCTATCTGTCCTAAGGAAATTTTCTTCTGCATGTCCATTTTCTTCTGCTGTGTCCTTTTCTTCTGCATGCCCAAACTCAAAACACTGGGTGGATTACCTGGTCCACAGCAGTAGCCTATATTGGAAATGTTATCTCATCAGTTGCTATTTGTAGCATTCAAGCTACTATTATATTTGGGGTATGGTTATGGCTGTTTCTTCGGTCTTCCTGCTTGATGCAGCCACCCACCAGCCTAGCTGAACACCCAGCCTGCCTCAGTCCTACCTTAAGTTGCCAGTGCTAGTTACTTTTAACTATGTTGCCCCTGCCCCATTATATTTTCTTCCTAACACTCATCAGAACCTGATAGGATTGATTTGTTTAGTGACTTGATGCTTGTTAATTGTCTTCCCCCACACACTAGTACAAAAATTCCTTGAGGGCAGGGACTAAGACACTCTGTATCCCAGCAATGAGAACAATGTCTGGCATGTAGTAGGCACTCAAAAATATATTTGTTGGCCAATATATTCCTTTAGAGGAAGAGAAGAAGGTTATATACTAGTAGTTCATAGATACAGAGAGCAAACATTCCCACACAAGTATTTCTGCAGTGACTCTGGAGGTAGAAGTTAGACGATGCCATTCTCAGAACTTTCAAGAGGCCTTAAAAAAAAAAAAAAAAAATATATATATATATATATATATATATATATATATATATATATATATATATATATATTGCTAATTTCAGAGAGGGAGGGAGAGGAGGAGAGGGATATAAACATCAAAGATGAGAGAGAATCATTGATTGGCTGCCTCCTGCACACCCTCTACTGGGAATCAAGCTCATAATTTGAGCATGTGCCCTGACCTGGTTCATAGGTGGACCACTGAGCCATGCCAATTGGGTTGTATTCCTTTATTGATGCTGCAGGTGCTATAGGCACTGTAGTCAAGTACCAAGAGGACTGAGTTAGCAGTAAAAAGACATGACTTTGAATTTGGGCTCTTTCACTCTAGAAATATAATCCTATTTAATAAAAGGGTAATATGCAAGTTGACCGTCACTCCAACACACAAGATGGCTGCCCCCCAGGTCAAAGATGGCTGCCCCCATGTGAATACAAGGTGGCCACCACAAGATGACCAGCAGGGGAGGGCAGTTGTGGGCAATCAGGCCTGCAGGAGAGGGCAGTTAGGGGTGATTGAGTCGGCAGAGGAGGGCAGTTGGGGAAGACCAGGCCTGCAGGGGAGAACTGTTGGAAGGGACCAGACCTGCATGGGAGGGCAGTTGGAAGTGATCAGCCCTGCAAGAAAGGGCAGTTAAGAGTGACTGAGTCAGCAGAGGAGAGCAGTTGGGGGAGACCAGGCCTACAGGGGAGGGCAATTGCGGGGGGACCAGACCAGCAGGGAAGGCAGTTTTTTTGAGGGGGGGCAAGGCCTGCAGAGAAGAGCAGTTAAGGGCAACTGGGCCAGCAGGGGAGGGCAGTTGGGGGCAACCAGGCTTTCAGGGGAGAGTAGATGGGAGGAACCGGACCTGAAGAGTGGGACAGTTAGGGGTGACCAGGCATGCAGGGGAGGGCAGTTGGGGGAGACCAAGCCTGCAAGGGAGGACTGTTGGGAGGGACCAGACCTGCAAGGAAGGGCAGTTAGGGGCAATCAGGCCTGCAGGGGAGGACAGTTAAGTGTGACTGAGTCAGCAGAAGAGAGCAGTTGGGGGAGACCAGGCCTGCAGGGAAGGACAGTTTGGGGGACCCAGGCTTGCGAGGGAGGGCAGTTGGAGGACCAGGCCTGCAGGGGAGGGAAATTGGGAGGAAACCAGGCCATCAGAGAGGGCAGTTGGGAAGGACTAGGCCTGCAGGGGAGAGCAGTTAGGGGAGACTGGGCCAGCAGGAGAGGGCAGTTGGGGGCAACCAGGCTTGCAGGGGAAGGTAGTTGGGGGGAACCAGGCCTGCAGGGGAGGGCAGTTAGGGGTAACCGGGCCAGCAGAGGAGGGCAGTTGGAATAGACCAGGCCTGCAGGGGAGGACACTTGTTGGGGGGGAGGGGGAAAGACCCAGGCTTGCAGGGGAGGGCAGTTGGGGGAACAAGGCCTGCAGGATAGGGCAGTTGGGGGAGGGGGGGGGACCAGGCCTGTAGGGGAGGACAGTTGGGGGCAATCAGGCCTGCAGGGGAGTGGTTAGGGGCAATCAGGTTGACAGGTGAACTGTTGTGAGTCAGCAGTCCTGGATTGTGATAGGGATGTCCGACTGCTTGTTTAGGCCCTATCTCAGTGGGCAGTCAGATATCCCTTGAGGAATAC